CTAACAGTGATCATTCGTGTACTTTGCATCGACTCGTACTTGATAGGTGTGGTATGCCAAGTAACCTCAGACCAAATATGTGTCATTTTTTAAACCTCCACCGCTAAAACATTACGTGTACAAGCGTTTGGTGTACAATAACTTCACCTCACAGGATAAAAAGTTGGAAGATTAATTATCAGAACCAAATTAGCAGTTTGATATTATTTTTTCTTTGAAATTATGTCAAATATCATCAGGACAATATCCAAGAAGTTAGAATAACAATTCACAAAGTCAGTACGTATGGTTAGTCTGATCCTGTCCTGATGATGTTTGCTGTAGTTTTCAATGAAACGTCATGTCTAAGTGCTGAACTTGGTTGTGATAATTGTTCTTTTAATTTACGTTTGTACACGTAACAATTAAATTTAGCTGTTTTCAGTGTTGGAGGATGTTGATGACACAAACTTGGTCAGATCTTACGTGGCCTACCCAAAAATATAATTATAATTCATAATACAGTATTGGGTGTATAAACCAACATGTTCAGTTATTTTCATAGCTAAAAATGTATTTAGTTTAAGTATGAACATGAATTGCAAATGAGTCAATTAAAGCACCGAAGCTCTCAGTGCAACATTAGTTATCCTCTCAATGATGAACACAAAGCAGAATAAAACAATTCAAGACAACTTTCAATCGTAATTACTGTTCCTCTTCACATAATCTGCAGTTTTATTCCAATAAAATATTTAACAATAAAGATTCAGTACTTGTAAAGAGTGCTTTGTCATTTAGGTTTTTAATCGTGTTCGAGCGTATGACCTTGGAAGCACAGTCGGTGATTCAGACATCATTATTCTGAAGAGAAAAATGCATCCATGGGGTGGGATTTTTTTTCTGATTTCTGAGCTGGTATTTACCCAACAAGTCTGTGTTTAGTGTGGACACTGCTAATGCAACCCCGTGCACTTTTTCACATATTGGCAAAGAGTCGCAGCGGTGTAGTTACAATCTGGAGGGCGAAATCCCACCTAATCCTTCCAAGTCCCCACTTTTAATTAAGTCAGGTGTGTGTTTCCAGGAATTATGGGACTTTCGGGTGTGTATGTCTGGATTAGTCCTTTGTTTCAGCTGTGACCAACTTCACATGCCTAAAAATAAGCCGCGTAAATTAAAATCAGCTTGCCTTTTCAGTCGTAACGTTGGGCCATTTTTATTCAGCTCATGTGTACTTCTTGTAACATTGCACAAACATTTTAAAAGAGTTTTAGTAAGATGGTAAATACTGTATTTAAGATATTTATTCGGCTTGGCTTCATTTTACAATTGCAGTGCTGCCCTGTATTACAAATTTTAGACAGGTGACAATCATTACATTAGAATAAATACATTTGTATACTGTAATTCATGCAAATTATCAGGTTCAGAGTGTGCTATGCTGCCTTGTTAATGCAATGTCATAACTTATGTTTCATCAAATTGTACATTGCTTACTCAAAGATAACATACTTGCTATCCAGTGTACTGATTTTTAGTTTGGTATTTAACACAGCACTGTGTTGTATTTGGATGTTTTAACCATGCCTTTCACAGTGGAGCAGTTTCACAAATCTCACTTGGGTTTTTTATTCTACAAATATTAGAGTGTTCATCATATCACTCAAGATGGACAGCACTTGATTATTTTGGCACTATCCTCACAATCTGGCAACAAGACAGAGATTAGATGTAGAAAATCAGATGATCTTGGACTGGACGGCACGGGTCCCACCTGCAGAAGGAAGAACGTGTTTGTCACATACCCTGCTGTGTGTGTGTGTGCACATGTGAGGTTCCATTGAATTTGGAAAGGGTGTCCTCTTTCAGCCACTGAGGTGGCCCGCTTCCCAGCATCCATGCCGCTGCTCTAAACTAACAAAAAAGCTTCTTTTATTTCTGCATCCTCCTCCCCCACGTAAGACCACCACATCTGCTCTCCAGCTCCAGCCCTAAGACAAAGGGAAACTAGAAAATGAATCTGCGAATGAATTCCAATGCTCTGACCATCCTCGGATAAGCATAATCTGTATTTGTGGAAATGTGAGAATGCATTGTCAAGTTACAAGAGGTTACCCGGGGCAGGAAATGTCACTGGCTATGGCCATCCCTTGTGGCAGTGAACATTTTTCCTTGACAACGTGCTCAATTCTGCAGGAGTCTAAGTATGCATTGAGCACCAATGATTTATGAAGAGCGAGACACAGTGGCACTGATCGTGCCCTTGATTGCTGCTGAATAGCAGATACTCACTCAGTGTATCGAAATTAAAGTTTGATGACACGTTGATTACTCGATCGATTTTTAAGTTTAAAATATATGCATCGAATCACGTTTGTAAGCAAACAATGTATTAATTCGTATGTTGTATTAAGAGTTCTTGGATGAGTGTAAGAACAATGCTTTTGTATGGGTTAACATAACCCCTCCAGACACTAGAGGCCGCTACATTCACCGCAACATATAACTAAAAAAATCTAAACAAAAACCTCGAATCAAAACATGTCAAGTGCGCGCTTCTGCACGTCATATCACCACCGATGCTCGCATCAATTGCACTCAACACTATGTCCTGAATAAACACCGTCGTCTAACGGACATCCTGTCGCACACAAATCGCCATCCAGCTTTCAACGAGCAGCGTAAAATGTAATCCTAACACTGCGCATGACTCAACTCCCGGCGAGTGCAATGTCACTCCTTCAAAATTCTACTCACGATCACCGGACCCTTCAGTGCACATTTCAACCTCAATTTCCAGCCATGATTATGACCAAAGAAAACCCCACCCGATCACTGCTAATGCATTATGCACTGTATAATGACAGTACTTATGAAAATTACTATTATTTTGTAACTAAGTATGACTTTCTCGTGTTGAAATGTGATGGGCCTGTAATGGAAGTGGCAAAGAAAGTGATGCCTCGGGGTTGATGAACAATGCCCACCTATGGGCCGGGCTCTGGGTGAATCAAGTTCAAGCTGGATCAACTGTGAGATGCATTTTTCCTTCAGAGATGTATTCGTATCGTATAGCTTGATTTCCATGCCAAGAAAAAATATATTACGAATAATAAGAAAAAAAACTCAACACATTCATCAGATTATATAATAGGTGACGTTTTGGGCAATTGCCGCTCCTTCGTAGCAGGGTGAGACGAGACAAACAGAGTGGATGAGAATTGGACGCTGCGCTTTCCACCAAGGGGCCTGGTACAAATAAAATAAAAGTTTCCTAATGATTATATTTTTTTATTGACATGCTGTCCACTAGTTTTTTTTATGATTCAGTTAGCCAAGAATCTGAGCACCATCATGTACCTGAGTGAAATGTAATTCAGCAATGTACAGCATGCATTAGGTCGGGTTTCATGACATAAAACAGTAAACCTTTAAGGCATGCATACAAATTTATGTTAATTTACAACATTATTTCAATCGTCAATGATCGATCATTCGGTATTTGGACATCCACTTTGTGCAGTGAAATCAGTTTTACTATACTTCAACGTCGCATATCCGCACAACACATATCGGCCCTTACCAATCGCCCACACTCAGTGCAGTATTTTTTTCCCAATCAGATATGTGACGTTGTAATGTACATGCACAGCCGTTTGTCAATTACTGTTGAATGAGGACTTCTCATGCACTGCGGGTCACGGGTGTTATTTGACCATACTTCACCACTGTGGTCATTGCAGCTTGTTGAACACAGAGGATTGAGCGTAGTTCAGACTACTAATGAGTTATGCGGCACTGCCCTTTGCTCGCAACAAGCTAGAACTAATGCCCCTATCTACTGACATAATCAATTGGTGAAGCCTATGACAGAATATGGAACGCACCTGCCAATAATGTCTGCTGAATCATATTGGTCCGGACAGCCAATATGCTGATGAGACTTCGAATGGGGTCTTATATTCGTACAGCTGGTGGTACAGCAAATACTAAAAGCATAATCTTAAAAATGACCAGCCATGCTGGATGAATGCCTGTCTGTGATGTCTCAACCTCTCACAATCCTGCCGTGAAATAACAACCGCCGTTCTCACAATCCTGGCGGCGACGTCACCACGGCGCTTGTGCCAAGCTCGGTGCACTTTCAGGCCACGTGAAGTGTCGAAGGTTCGCTGACAAGTCACGGAACAGACCTCATGTGCCATGAGTTGACTGAGATGACCTTAGCGGTCAACCCATGAAGGTTTACCCGTTTTCTTGTACAGGGAAATTGAGTTGTCAGGTCCATACGGCGTACAGCCGTTTCAATACGGGCAATACATGTTTATTTGTTTGTGTTTCTCCCTTGTGATGGGACTTTGTGTGATGCACATTCAGATTCATAAGGGCACGGGGTAACCAATGAGTCCTGAATCGGTCTGTAATGAGGTAGGAGGGACTGATAAGGGGTTGACAAGTATTGGTGTACGTGTGTAATCATTTTTTTTATTTTAGCGATTTGCTTACCTTTCCTATGATTTGCACCCTATCGGTTTTTTTTTTGTATTGTTTGTTGCTGTAACTTTCTGACCCACCTCTCCTGGAAAGCTGTGAAAAGAGCTTCATAGCTCATCAGATTTCTGCAGGATACATGAAGGTTGTGATACACTCTGAAAACAGCGACTTATGTCGCTCTTGAAGTATCTACCCCATGTCTCATTCACTCGCAGAGAAATAGAGGTCGCGGTCCACTCTGAAAACAATGACTTATGTCTCACTTGAGGTCTCTTCCCAGGTCTCATTCACTCGCAAAGAAACAGAGGTCGCGGTCCACTCTGAAAACAGCGGCTTGTGTCTCTCTTGAAGTATCTTCTCTTGTTCTCATCGACTCGCAGAGAAACAGAGGTCGCGGTCCACTCTGAAAACAGTGACTTATGTCTCACTTGAAGTCTCTTCCCCAGGTCTCATTCACTTGAAGAGAGATGTAGGTCGCGGTCCACTGCCAACCCAACCCGCCGGCGCTGTGCACGCCGGGAAGGGAGGAGGGGGGCGTGGTCACGTGGTGGTGAGGCCTGGTGCTTTCGCTTCGTTATTTGGGACCTGTCCGCGCTCTTTGAGATCGAGAGGATTTTTTTCTTTAAATTATCTCAAACACACGGCAACTCGGACGTACAGGAGGCGCGCGCATCATATTTCCGCGTGCAGTAGTCCAACGACAACGCAAACATGGCTTCGACGGCCGCGGGGAAGCAGCGAATCCCGAAAGTGGCTAAGGTAAGCGTCATACGGGGCCTCCTCGGCTAGACGGAGCCTTCGGCTTGAAGGAGATCATCGTGTTGAGACGTGTAACTCGGTCATCATTATAATAACAAGAACAACAACAACAACGTTAAAATGTAGTATAGTACGTGACGAGATGAGGTCGTGCGCAGATGCTAGATACGTTGCGTCGCAGGACCGTGTTAGGGGTGGTAACGGCTTGAGAAGGCCTTGAGTGATCATGGGTGATGATAGTATTTGTACAATAATAGTGACGATAGTCGAATGTGAATGATAGTCTAAAGGGTGAGTGTAAAACATAACCAAGTTCTGTTGTTGTACGGCTGGTCTGTTATTGGGCGAGTGTGTGGGCTGTAGGAGGCAACTCTTCAGATGTAGGCCACGGCATGGGGAGGCACTCATCCAGCAGTTGATTGACAATCGTCACGGTGCTTGTGCCAGGCTATGTGCACGTTGAGGCCACGTGAAGTGTCGAACTCCCACCTGGCAGGACGGTCACGGGGCAGACCCAGGTGTCCATGGGTCGACTGACTGAGATGACTGACCAATGCACCACCTGGTGCTCCTATACACACATCCACAGTACCTGCCGCTGACCAGCTTTTGACGCATGTGACGTTTGCAGGTGAAGAACAAAGCACCGGCCGACCTGCAGATCACAGCGGAGCAGCTGCTTCGCGAAGCCAAGGAGAGAGAGCTTGAGCTCCTGCCGCCACCGCCGCGCCAGAAGATATCCGACGAAGAGGAGCTTGCGGATTACAAGCTACGCAAGCGCAAGGTTGGCACTGCTTTGAGGCCTCAGGGTTTGCAGGATCCTGCGGAAGAAGCGCTTGTCAACGCGTAATCATTGGTGGCAGCGTTCTTCGCAATTTTTCAGGGGGAGGCCAGCTTTCGCCGATAAGACGTCAGTCTGAGGGCCGCCACACACTTGAAACCATTGTGGTTTGACATCACGATTGGGGGTTTTTCACATTGTGTATTGTCGGGGGCCGCAATCAGGGGCCGCACTAAAGGCCACCAGGGGCCTCCCGTGGCCCGCGAGCCTTGCAGTGAGAACACTGGTTTACGCCGACAGTCTCACGCGTATCCAATTGTCTCCAGTTTATGCATGTGTGTACTGTCAAAGATTGTAAACTGTTTAGAAGTAGTTTTTTGCTATTGACACAGCCATTCTTAAAATACACCGTTTAATGTAGGTATATTTTTTGTAGCATCCCACATTTTACGTTAGCCTTCCATAATATACAGTTTGTCTTAATATACCCCATTAAAGAGCATCATCATTTTAAAATGCAAGTTGTGAAACATTTCTAACTTGTGTGTTAATGACCGTACCTTTTTGTAAATAGATTTTGATATGATTTTTGGCAATTATATAAGCTGTTTGTATGAATGTGTGTGCAGACATTTGAGGATAATATCAGGAAGAATCGGACAGTGGTCACAAATTGGATAAAGTACGCACAATGGGAGGAGAGCTTGAAAGAAATCCAAAGGTAAAAGTGCATAAAATACCACAATGTACCAAAATGATGCACTCCACATAACAATTCAGACTGTGATTTTAATTTATTTTTCCAATGCTTCAAACCTGTCAAATAAGCTTTTGAAAGTATCCATCCGTATGAACATGGGTTTGTGGGGTTGTGTGTTTGTGTTAAAGAGCACGCTCTTTATACGAGCGTGCCCTGGATGTGGATCACCGCAACGTGACACTCTGGCTGAAGTATGCCGAGATGGAGATGAAGAACCGGCAAGTGAACCATGCGCGCAACATCTGGGATCGTGCGGTCACCATCCTGCCACGAATCAACGCATTCTGGTAGGTGGCTACTGTGGTTTATCACTGGTTACGTAGGTTTTTTTTTTTCCACAAGATCCAGCAATCTGCCTCCAAGCACCAGGAATCAACAGTATATGTCCTCGTTACATCTCATGTCCTGCAAATACTTTCTGATAATGTTCCTTGAGAACACCATTGAACCTGGGTACCCATGTCAGATTTGTATCCACTCTGTTAAGAACAAAATTTTAATAATCAAACTATATGCTGAAGATAAGTGTTTGTTCTGTAACTTCTTATTTCTTTGTAATATCAATTAAATGACTGCATCTCTTGGACCTTTTGCTAACATTTATGGTGATTATTTGTATTCTCCATGTTTAAATAAAAATACGAATATTACAGTATTTAATTGAAAGCAACACTGCAATGTAGCCTATATTTCAAGGACCTATATCCACTCTGAGGCCGCAACAGAATCAAATAATATATATGCGCTTAATAAAATGACAGTTATAACGATTATAAATCAATGTGCATGCGCTGTCTTGCCCCTGTTAGGTACAAGTACACATACATGGAGGAGATGCTGAGTAACGTGGCAGGCTGCCGGCAAGTGTTTGAACGCTGGATGGAGTGGGAGCCGGAGGAACAGGCCTGGCATTCTTACATCAACTTTGAGCTCCGCTACAAGGAGGTGGACGCAGCCCGTGCAGTCTACGAGAAATATATCCTTGGCGCCAGCGTAACTTCCAGAAAAGCGATGAATACATTTTCAAATCATAGTCTAGATAACTTGGGCATTCAACTTAAGTGACTTGTATAGGAAAAACAACGTTGAGTATGTATGTATCTATGTTGAACCTCTTTCGCACTATACATAGCCAACCGTGATAATCGGAGGTGAGTACTCCACACCCTCATGCAAGACCCTCTGATAAAAGAGTCTTGAAACTCATTCAGCCTTTCCTGGTTAAATAAATGACAATTAATTTTGTTGCATGGACTTGTTCACTAAACTACTTTAGTGTTTTGTGTAACAATTGCAACATGCGAGCTACATTCATAAGTTTCTTGTAGATCTTGTAGATACAAGAAACTCCTTGTAAAAAGGTGTCAGTTTTGTTGCCAGATAGAAGGGTAAAAAAACAATTATCCTATTTTTACTGGCAAATGAGGTTCCCATAGTGTAGATGCTTGCCCCGAGCTCTCATACTCTGATGGTGCATTGTCTTTGAGTTGTGCACCTTTTGGTGTCATCTGGTCCAACCCATGTGAGACTAGGCTCTAAGGAAAGCTGTCTCGGGTGTGGACCAATCAACTTCAAGGACAGTGCACATTATCAGAGTTATGTCTTTTGTTTGTATTATGACTGCAGGTATTGCGGTCTACGCAAACATGACTCCTTGTAGAAAGGTGTCAGTTTTGTTGCCAGATAGAAGGGTAAAAAACCAATTATATTTTGACTGGCAAATGAGGTTCCCATAGAGTACATTTTATAATTATGACTACATTCATTAATACATGTGTCTTGACAACATAATATATTTTAACAGATCGTTAAAATAGATTTCTCCTTTGACTGCCACTTCATTGTAATTTTAGACGACCGGTCACCATCCCTTCTAAGCAATGTGTCCTGCACAAGCCAATTTTTATTGAGTTTATGATGTCTTTAACTTCCATATGTTCTCTAATCCTTGTCATCCTCTTTACGTCCCATTGTAATTCCAAGCATGTTCCACTCATTGCTTCTTTGTGCACATTTCAGCTTTTGTTACATTTTTTGGGTCGATGTCTAAGTTGCCGATCCATTTTCTCAGCAGATGAGGAGTTTTACATTTTTACTTTAGACGTGACCTCTGTCATCTAGATCGAATGTGATGACGTAGACTTTTAGCGCAGTATAGGCGTGATTGCAAATACAAAAATAAAGTTGGTGCTGTACACCCGCAGCCACTCCCTTTCCTTGACAGCTCGCTCTCTCGATGCACTTGTCATGGTGCATCCCGAGATAAAGAACTGGATCAAGTATGCCCGCTTCGAGGACCGGCACGGCTACACGGCACACGCACGCCGCGTGTACGAGCGGGCCGTCGAGTTCTACGGCGAGGAGCACATGAAGGAGCCGCTTTTTGTTGCCTTCGCCCGCTTCGAAGAAGCCCAGAAAGAGGTAGCGCCGCAAAGAAATACGAGTCGAGCAATCGTCTTCTTTCTACCCGCCGTTTCACATGCTGTAGATGCTGCATTTATTTTATTCTGGTAAAACTTTTGTTGCTTTATATAGTGTTGCAGTTGTGTTCAGTCTTATGCACATTAGTGCAAGTATTTGGCCAGCAAATCCATCTGATAATATTTAATTGATATCTATCCCTAAACAAATTTGGTTAAGCTTAGAAATGTTTTTTCTGTATATGCCAATGAAGCTTTAACCACGTTCAGTACACGGCAGTGTTGTTTAGCATCGCTTGAATCCGCCTACTCTTGCCTGCTAATATTTTGGTTACTGCCATAAGGAATTACTGGAGATGATGGCTACCACATATAGTACGTAGTTTTGTTATATCTTCTGTTATTTTCACACGGACCTTTTTTACATAATTTTGACAATACTACATTTATTTTTCTCTTGCAGTTTGATCGCGTGCGCGTGATATACAAGTATGCCTTGGATCGTATACCGAAGCAGTCATCTCAGGAGCTCTTCAAGAACTACACCATGTTTGAGAAGAAGTACGGCGACCGCCGCGGTATTGAGGACGTCATCGTCAGCAAGCGCCGCTTCCAGTACGAAGAGGAGGTCAAGGTGAGGTCAGGTCATGCGCGTCAGTGCATTTGATTGGTTTTGAGAGCCTCCTTGTCTGCTTTGATTGTGCTAAACAGTTCCAGAGTTGCATGCAACATAAGATTTATATTGACTTTTATGCATTTTACAAACTGCACGTCTGGTTAAATTATAGGAGATGTGTTTTCATATGCCTGGTGATATTAAGGGGATCAATGCTGTATATTCTTTTCAGTTGAGTTTGAATCTAACACAACCTCATTGCTTAAGGTAATTTGGTTTAAGTGAACCAAATTGCCAATGTCTCGTTGGAATAAAGGTTAGTATATGCATTATATTGAGCTCTAATTGTCTAGTTATCGATAAGATTGTATTCAACTAATTTCCCTTCTAGGTTATGTTAGGTTCTGATATCCCTTCACATTGCTCTCTAGTGTTTGGCCACAAGCTTTCCAACATTTCACATAAATCTAGCAAGCCCTTAATTGTTAGTGGATCGTCATCATTATTTTGCCTTTCCACGTGAAGAATCCACATATAATATAACAAAAAACATGCACAAAAATGTATTAATATCAAAACAACTTGAACCAACTCCATAAAATATCACCAAATATCCATTTGAACGCCATGAATGTTGTCGTCGCTTCTGGCATCATCAGGCAAACCCGCACAACTACGACGCCTGGTTTGACTACCTGCGCCTGGTGGAGAGCGACTGCGAGGCGGAGTCCGTGCGCGAGGTGTACGAGCGAGCCATCGCCAACGTCCCTCTGCTGCCAGAGAAGCGCCACTGGCGCCGCTACATTTACCTGTGGATCAACTTCGCGCTGTTCGAGGAGCTGGAGATGAAGGCAAGCCAGCTGCCCTCATGGAAACGCACTCACGAATGGCAGCACTTTACACGCCTCGCATGTGCGCAGTAGATTGTTTTGGATGTTTAATGTGAGTGGGTGTTTTTGTAGGTTTTACTCCCAATTATTGAACGTGAGCTATTTGAGCGTTACGAACTTTTTATGGCTAGTGTGCGATACCACCAAAGCTTCAACATCGCCATGGAGAATTTGAAGCAAATTGTAGGCACGAACAAGATGGTATACATAAAAAAAATCTAGCTCAGCTGGTAGGGGAATTTAAACTTGTTGTAAGCAACAGATTTAACTCCCTTGTGAAGCAAAATAATGAATGCATGTAACCAGTTTATATAATGAGAACTTGCATTTGAGATGCGCAGTGTAGTGATAGTGGAGGCCAAAATTTATACATTTATAAAAGAACAGGTCGTGTTCTTTGTTCTTTTGGTAAAGTCACGTAAATTGAAAAATAATAAAATTCTAATTATAAAAGCAAAAACCCACGACGTTTCGATCGCAGCACAATATGAAAACAGTTGAGAGGGTCATAGTTCATGATGATTAATCTTTTATGTTATAGAGTGCCCATTTGGTGAGTGATCTGAATGGGCTGACAGTTGTCCACGTGTGCATTGTCTTTTTGTCTTAAGGATCCAGATAGAACAAGACAAGTTTACCAAGGCTGTCTAGAGCTTATTCCACACAAAAAGGTAAATAAATTGAGATTGGCATAACTATCATAATTATACTTGCATGTGTTTATCATTGCAACCCACTCACATGTCAAATATTCTTCATTCTTTAGTTCACCTTCAGCAAGATCTGGCTGCTGTTTGCACAGTTCGAGATTCGGCAAAAGAACCTGACAGCTGCTCGAAAAGTCCTCGTAAGTGTCTGTTGTATACCATTAATGTGGAACTACACTCATGCCGCGCAATTCATATCCACGCTTGCTATTCAGCTAAATTTGAGAGAGCTTTTAAGGGCACACCAAAAATCCATTATTTGCTCATAGCCACATACATGATAATTATCTTCAGCCATGATGAATCTACTTGGCTGGATAAAGCCCCCTCCTCAAGCCACCACCATGCATTATTGTACTGCCATGGAACAATCCAGGATGGCCGTAAACATTAAAAAAAATTGCATATACAATCACATATCTACGTTTAAAATTAGTGTTTAAAAAAACATTTTATCGAAAAAAAACCCATCAATATTGAAAATAATGGTTCCATTTATAAAATCAAAGGATTACTGAGTTTTAAAACTGTTAATTTACTTTTTGTTCGAAACTCAAAAATGTCTTTTCCATCGTTAATTTATAAACCAACACAATGTAATCCACAAATCTCGAGTCTTGCGGTTGTCCCCCTGTTGTCGTTCCTCCGGCAGGGCATGTCGATTGGCAAGTGCCCCAAGAACAAGCTGTTCAAGGGCTACATTGAGCTGGAACTGCAACTGCGGGAGTTTGACCGCTGCCGGAAGCTCTACGAGAAGTTCTTGGAGTTTGCGCCGGAGAACTGCACGACGTGGATGAAGTTCGCGGAGCTGGAGACCATCCTGGGAGACGTGGAGCGCTCACGAGCAATCTATGAGCTGGCAGTCGGGCAGCCACGCCTCGACATGCCCGAGGTGAGCGTTGTGCAGATCATCATCATCATCGTCGTCACTCAGTATTCATACTGCACCTCAATGCAGCGCGTCTCCTGTCCCCGTGAGGCGTAATGTGACGGGCCTTGTCCGAAAGAATCTGTGCAAAAAGCTGAAAATGTGGGACTGCTGGGTCGTATGTCTACACCATCTGGCATGGGAATAAATAAATCAGTTATTACCAAAAAAATTATTGATAACTCTTTACGATTAACTATTGGTTTTATTTATCGCTCATTCAGGTATTTACTTCATAAATTCAAATTAATATTATTCAAATAATGTATCTGATACTTTGTGTTCCAAAATGTTGTAATGAATGCAACACTTAAGTTCCCCCCCGCAGTTACATGTAATTTGACAGCAGTTCTCCATGGGCGGCTGCTATAGTTGGTGAGCATTTTTTTTCTCAAACCTTGGCCATGCACTGCAGAGTTGAAATGCCCGCAGTTGAACTCGACTCCTGCAGGTGGCTGCAGCAGCGCGTGTCAAAGCTTGAAAGAAAAAAATGTTCAATGCGCAACCCTACCCAGAAAACTGCGCTTGAAGTTAAGCTGAACTTTAAAGTTCCATGACTGCGCCCACATGTGCAATGCCCAGAGGTCATTGGCTTGATCAGTCCACACAAAATTGGTCAATTCATCATGACAACCCAGCTGCTCACGGCAAGTCTTTAACATCAAACATCTTTTTTTTACTACGGTTATAATTTTGCATAATCGTGGCTGAAATCTCCATTGCACTGCTCCCATTACTTACAACTTCAGAAACTAGGTTTGTGCTTTTTTGTGCCTATTGTGTGTAGTCAAGCATAACAGTGTTTTTCACAAAGCATTATCTTACCTATAAACGTAATTTTTTGTCTGTCTGCGTGTGTGTGGACACACCTTGTGACGCTTTTAACTCGCAAACTGTGGGGTTCACGTTTTTAAAAAGTACCCAGATACCACATGATAAGCCCCCGGGTGAGCCAGCACTATTCATATTTCACATCTGTCAACTTTAAAGTAGTTAAATTAACAATTGATTACTATTATATTACTAAGCTGAGCTCGCGCCAAAGCACGCATCTGCGCATGCGCGAGAACGCTGACCCGTGGTTGCCCTAGCAACGCACACACGCGATCGGTGGGGGGCGGGGAAAAATTATCATTCGCGCTTCAAAGAAAATACACAACCCTGAGGTAAATTCTTCAGTGTGATGTCCTCTTCTCCCCCCCCCCCCCACCCTAATGTGTGCAGTTACTACTATAGAGTCGGTAGATGCTACTACTATAGTCCGTAGATACTACTGTAGAGCGGACGGGGGGATGGTGGGGGGGGGTAGCAGCCTAGCCCCAGCCTGCCAAGGTGCCACCTCGGTCGGCTGGGAAATCTTGGCGAGGCGGGGGCTCCGCACGGGACTAGGCCTCACCACGGCACTGTTAAGTTAGTAGTTATCTGCTATAGAGTAGATAGATACTTATAGAGTCGGTATACGACTATAGAGTAGGTAGATACTACTTTAGAGTCGGGAGATACTACTGCAGAGTCGGTAGATGCTACTGTAGAGTCAGTAGATACTGCAATAGAGTAAGCAGATACTGCAATAGAGTAAGCAGATGCTATAGAGTTAGTAGTTACTACTACAGTCACTAGATACTACTATAGAGTCTGTATATAATACTGAAGTCAGTAGATACTACTATAGTCAGTATATACTGGTGCAGAGTCAGCAGATACAGCTATAATCAGCAGATACTGCTATAGTCAACAGATACTACTATAGAGTCAGCAGAAACTACTATAGAGCTAGTAGTTACTACTATACAGTCAGTAGCATCTACTGAGCTCAGTATACGCTACTGTACAGTCAGATAAAACTACAGAGTCAGTAGATACTACTGTAGAGCCAGATACTACTGTAGAGCCACTAAATACTACTCACTCTATTGTATGTAGGGTGTGTAGGTATATATGCCTACGTGGAGGTAAAAACATTTTTGGAGGGGGGGGGGTTGTAGTCGACAATTTTTTTGAAACCTTTTAGATCAACTATTTACCCCCCACTTTCTCTAGCTATTTGGACTTCTGCAAGCCTCTTATCATTTTGTTGATGGACGAATGGACAAAAGGCATGCGGGGCTTAAACAATAGCTTGTGTTTTTTAGAGAAGTAATAAAATAATATTATTTTATTACTTCCCTTCTACGTGACTTTACCGAAAGAACCAAGAAGATGAATCCCTGCAGTCACGAAAGCTTTAAATCGAAATTTTTTAGAGAAGTTTTTAAATATATTTTTCCCCAGGGCGACGCCGGGTACTTCTGCGAGTGTGCTATAAATGTAATGTTACAATATATTAATATAACCTTTTGCCATGCAATGCTAAATTTAAACTCTTATCCTGCATTTCCATGAATAGTTCACTTTAAAAATGTTACTTTATCTTTCTGTTAAGTATCATAACCCTTTAATATATCTTCATGAATTGGCAACTTTCTCGGGGGGAGAGTTGGCGAGTCACATTTAATTAATGCACCTTCAATTTTCTGACGAATAGCCCCTGGATATACCCGTGATTCTTACATAAGCACCACGCCAGAGCCACGGGTCGCCAGCTTTGAACGACAGAAGCTGTGAGCGCGTCTGCGCACGCGTGTTTTTTTTCTCTCCCGTTCCCAGGTGCTGTGGAAGTCCTACATCGACTTTGAGATCGAACAAGAGGAGTGTTCCAGGACACGGAATCTGTACCGCCGCCTCTTGCAGCGCACGCAGCACGTCAAGGCGAGCCTCGTCCCCCACACCTCTCGCCAGTCCCTTTGCTTGAATCGTCAAATGTCCTCGAACCAGACCTGGATTCGACGAGTTGTAATCGTGTAATTGTGTAATGAATTCCAGTCGTGATGTTAATGTCCGTGAACAATGATTGCTGAAATCTTAATTATTATTGACCCCCAGGTCTGCTTTAAAATAGCAATTACTTCCATGCATTCTTTGTTACCCAATTTGATGAATATAGTTTAGATTTTATAATAGCAAGTTCATATCAGCTCGAATAATGTAACTCTTTTCACAATATTACCAATCTCCATGTCCAGTAACCTGCCTGTGGTAGTCACCCTTAGCAGATATTTCTACAATCTTTGAAGACATTTTAACATGCCTTCAAGTGCAGAATTACTGGGGGGGGGGGGTTTATTCATACATTCAACCGCGGTTTTTCCAGTCTCTATTTTTAAAAGTTGTCTCTCTTTCGCAACCGAACTTTTCAAAATTCTATATTTAGCCCTGTGAGCCGTTCAACTGCTTGCAGATTTATAATAGCAAACATTGTTATTCTTGAGTTCCAAAGAATACCCAGTGAATATTTACTGATATTGATGTGGGCTGTGGTAATTGATCCTTTATTTTCTCTATTAGTTTATGAAAGCTCAATAGCGCCTCAATATAACTCTGCTTGTGAGGATCCATATTGGGAATTTGGGCCAATTCCTTAGTGAATATAAATTTTTGGAATAAACCCAAATACCCACAGGAAACCCCATGCACTTGAGGGGGGATAACACTAAAACATCCACAAAGATAAGATGTAAAGCAACCTGCTTGCTCTATTGTCACACACTTGGTCACCTTGTAGCTCATAATTTGATTTCAGCCTGTGACAAGACGTAGATTTTATGATTTTAAAAAGTCCAATACCGCTAGGCTTTTGCCTCCAAGAGGCAGGCTGTTGTTGCATGTATTTCAATGCGTGCTGAAGAAACTCGGTTGCTGGAGGTGGATTGTTCAGTTGAAGAGTCACGGGAAATTGACACGGCACAGTTGTGAACAGGAATCATGCCTGGTTCCAAGGTGACTCCAATTTCCTTGTGGTGATCTTATAAATAAGGTTACTTAGCTCATCAACTGCAATCTTCAGCTGTGCCGCTGCAGGCAATAGGCGGGGTTGTGTCGAGTCCCTCGGCGTAGGCAGGCAAGTGATTGATGTAGGGCACATTGCTTCAGAAATCACAAGACATGCCTCGTTTATCTTGACGTCAACCTTTGGCTGTGTGCCGGATTTTGCGCAGAGCCCCAGGCTACTGGTGGCCCCTCGTAGCCTTTAGTGCGGCCTCTGACGTGCGTCCCCCGACAATACACAAATGTGAATAATCCCCTGGCAGGCGGTGTGGCGGCACTCCACACTGATGTCGTATCGGTAAAAGAGGCCCGCCTCTGAAAATTAGTGAAGAACACTGCACTAGTCCATGCATAGTGCTCTGATGTAGGGTTAGACAATGCAAATGTTTTTATTGTTGAGATATTTTCTTGAAGGCGTTCGCAGATAGTAACAACAAGATAGCTAACTTACCCACTTGGCAGTTAATGATGCTAATGTTGGGCTTAAATTTCCAGTCTAACTAGTTTAATCTCTCGACTATTAATCTGGCATTGTATGTTTATTTGCAGTCTATAACTCAGTGTTCTGTAGTTGGCTGCATTTTCTCTTTAACCTACACGTGGTTTTTTCCATCGTATGGCGTTCGTATTGCATAATCTTGCATCACATGGTTATTGATGTAAACAAAAATACGACATACAGCATGAAAACGTTTATAAAAGATGTTAATATTGTCAGAGGTATTGTTTTATGAAGGATCATCACTTGATAAAATATATATTCTGATAATGTGGCTGGGTGATAAAAAAAATCTGGTTGCAAGTAAAAATTCTCGTCTTAAGTCAGCTCAGCCCATCATTCCTTCGGGGTCGATAAAACAAGTACACATACATGTACAGTCCTTTTTGTAAGTCCACTGATGAGTGCCTTCCCACACAGAGAAGTGGGGGCTATTTCACTTCCCCATACAGGTCGGGGGCGTGTGCTGATTAAGGTTGGGAATTACATTGGAGCACAATGGATTTTGCAGCACTGCCCTCTGCTGAAACATGGCCCCATAGCAGCCTGCACGCTTGTCGTGCATTCACTTATCCAGCCTCAACTCTGATCGCTTCCAAGATCTGACATTAATTGAGAACATTCCTGGAGATGTTTATTTTGTTTCTTTTTTAGATTCATTTATATCAGCACCAAGGGCCCAATGAGCTGATGGGCGCTATTTCATGATCATCGTCAGCCTTCCCCCGCACCTCTGATTAGCACAGTTGGCCACGTACGGTGTGAAAGAAGTCCATGATGCAAACGTACCACTGCAAATTCAACGTTGGTCACTCTGTGTCGGGACTGGTTTCTTGTTTATCGCTGGAATTTCCACCACTGGCTCAGTGCCACCTCACAGATGGATGCTGCTCCAGTGCTCGTTTTGAGTGTGGAGACACGGGCTTTTTGAATTACATTTACGATGTTTTATATTGATTACCTTGGCTTGTCCATCTTTCCAGGTATGGATAAGCTTCGCCAAGTTTGAGCTGTCGGTGGAGGGCAAAGAACGCGTCTCGCGTTGCCGGCGTGTGTACGAGGAAGGCAACCGCTCGCTGCGCAGCTGCGAGGAGAAGGAAGAGCGAGTGATGCTGCTGGAGGCATGGCGCGACTTCGAAGATCCGTTCGGCAATGAAGACAGCCGCGAGCGGGTGCAGAAGCTGATGCCCAGCCGTGTCAAGAAACGCAGAAAGGTTCAGACGGATGACGGGGTACGTACTCTTGGCTTCCCGAGGCTCCCGCCGATGGCTTTCCCTTGGACTGCTCCATTGTCGCCGACTTTGAACTTTAGTTTCATGAATTTGCATTCAATACGAAAACTTTTTTTTTTTGGGCTTAAAAGTTTCAAGTTATTGCTTTTCAACTACAGTTGAAAGCGTTAATAAAAATACATCAGCTATTTCTATATGTGAAATAAATCTCCATATATTTCAACGGCAAAGTTGTGAATATGTGTCTGTTCAAAATGTTTAGCGTACTTCCCGACATGCAACAAACTGGAAATTTGCCATATGGGTACTTTTTCCAGACTGTACACCATGCAAAAACTATAAAAAATACACTTTTGGTTGTTTTCTTTGGTGGGGGGAGCTCAATAATGCAGATATTTTTTGCACGGCAAGTGAGCTGTGACGTCACATCTGTCACGTGACCCGCGCATGTGGAAGTGTGACGCATTGTTGTGTAGCGGTTAGCGCACTGCGCTACGAACCCGGCGAGCCGAGTTCGATTCCCGCTCACGGCCACCACCGGTGACGATTATTTTAACCGGTCCTGGGCCTCCCCTAGGTCGACTCAGCCTCAAACAATTAACTGGTGTGGTGTGTGAACATCGCCACTGGGGGGACAAAGGCGGCCGGGCATAGTGAATCCAAGTCCCAGGCGAAGCCGGGTAGTAAAGCTAGTATTAGTATAGAGTTGTGTTGCTAAAAAGGACCTCCCTACCAAATTGATGAAAGGGTTTCCACCAACTTGACGACAGTGTAAATAGGGTTGTCCATGCCGGACAGTGTGGTAATGGCACACGTAATGCGCTGTATTACTTGTGTGATTTGGGACGTAACATTATTGTTTAGAAATGACTGAGGACAATTGGCGTGTTACGGAAGCCATGCAAATGCATGCTTCATATTTCTTGCTTTAATGAGCTCTAAGTTACTGGATGCAAAGTGAAAGTTTATGCCCAGGCATAATGTTGTCTTGTCTCTTTGCAGTCGGATGCTGGCTGGGAGGAGTATTACGACTACATCTTCCCTGAAGACTCGGCCAACCAGCCCAATCTTAAGCTGTTGTCCATGGCCAAGATGTGGAAGCAACAGCAGTACATGGAGGCTCATGGCATAGCATCTACTGCCCAGGGGGCACCACAGTGGGTAGATGAACCAATGGAAGAGGATGAGCAACGAGAGAGCGATGCGCAGACAAGTGCCCAACGACAGCCAGGAAATGAGAAAGGTACCGTGACAGCTCGGGATAAAAGTGACGACGATGATGGTGGTGATGGTCGTGAAGAAAGGGGAGAGGGTGTTGCCACTGGTGATGGAGACTCTGGTAGCGTCAACGAAGGGGAAGGCGAGTCTTCAGGAGAGACGAGCAAGAAAACGCCAATAGAGATGGAAGTGGGTGGTGGTGGCGGTGATGATGAATTGGTCTCCACAAAAGCAATAAAGAAGGAGCAGGAGAACATTGGTGACAGAGACCCAGACAAAGACCGGGATGAGACGGAGGACTCGTGATAAGGCTGCCGCATTCTCTTTGCTGCCATTCATCTGTTTTACCCACAGTCTTAAGTGGGTTCTAGGCAGCCACTATATGGATGGATATCTTCAATTTGTAGTAAAAAAAAGGCCATTAGCAGTGGGGGGGATGTACAAGGAAATGTATTTTAAAAACGTACCATATTTGTCATTAACACCTACATATAACTGAAAAGATATAGCAGACATTTTTTGGTAATGTAGAATTTTTGATACTATTAATGGCAAAGGTGGTGAAGTTTTGATTTCCTGGCCAATTGGCAAAGCTTGGAGTTAGATCAGCCCTTTGAAAATAATTATTAGAATTGTGTGATGTATTGTGTACTTCGCACGGACAAACACCAATAAATTCAAACATTTGTAATTAGGTCTTACTGCTGATGGGTTACATCGTTTTATTTTGGTTAATAAAAAAACTGTGACTGTCCCATGTCTGGCTCTTATGTAATTATGACATTCCGAAACCGCATCCGTACAAACCATAGCAGATGCGGATACCTGATACACAAATGCAATATAAAAAAACTCTCTCCAGTGTGCGACTGGTCATCCAGAACAGACCATACAACATAAAACGCAATGCCCGATACACAAATACGAAGAAAACATCACAGCGATACACTCTGCTACTGCCCCTGACGCGGTTGTGATCTGGTTGTTGCTCTGCATCTACATCAGCAGCCATACGAAAGAAGATTACATGAGTAGAAATTACATCATTTATGTAAGCGAACTGCTGAATTTGCAATAGATTTTATTAAAAATAAAACCTGAAAAGTTTAGATGTCTGATTGTTTTGTGAGTTCCTACTGTCTTAATACAACTTAATGATATTAGCATGATTATACACTCGTAACAATAAATAATGAAAGTATGTACTTATATTATTTTCAGGATTATTCATAGCTGGAGGGGCAAAAATGCTAATATGTACAACTGCTTAAATACATTTTTTCAACTTTTTAACAGCTAAAATAGAACTTCAAATGTTGCTCGATACAAACACATTAATACTCGACGCAAACTTATAACATCTGTAATAAATATGTACATTGAATACTGGCATGACATAACATATATAAAAAAAACGTATTAACATCTGCACAAATGCAGCTACTTTATTTAAGCTGTCTTTCTAACAGCTTTATACTTGTACTGTAACTCCAAGCTACATACTTTTAAACATTCAATGAAGGGACAACTAGAGGATGCAAATGATTTATTGCGGACGTTTGCAACTTTAATATTACTTGACCAGAAAAAACGGCTAAAAATATATCTGCTTTCGGTTTTTTGCCATGATGCAGCACGCTTGTGTTGCGCCCGAAACGTGATTTATTTTCTGCCTACGTAACTTTACCGAAAAAACCAAAGAGTATGGATTCCTGAAGTCACGAAAGCTTCAAATCAAGAATGATGCAGCAAGTACATTTTTATTGCATTTCTTAATTGCACTTTCGGTTGTGCAATGCGCGTTAAAGCTTGGTGCGGTGATCCTGTGTGTTGGCGCGTTGAAAAGTGCTCTCATTCACGGATAATGTCATGAGATTAGTTGCAGGGACATCTTGGCTTAAGGTGTTTCCATCGGCACTGTCTCTGTTTGGAGGTGTGAAGCCAGCGCTGGTGTCGGGTTCTTGCATGAAGAGGTTTTCGGAATCTCGGCATTGCCTGTCGATGTTGTCCAGCGGTTTGTAGACAAAGTAGCAAACCAATTGATTGGAGGTGGAATTGTTGCCGGTGAGCTTGGCCCACACGCTGTGCGGACAATCGCTGTCTTTGAGGAAGTGCCACTCACTGTGGCCCGAGCTGGAGATTGTGACCGCGTAGAGGCCAAAGCACTCCGCTTCGTCGGCAGTGACCTCGAAGTGGGTCGCGCAATTCTGGCACACCTCTTTTGCCGTGACCGTCTCCCGGGTGGAGAAGGGTTTTGTCATGCTGCCGCATTTCCGAAAGGACACCATTAACGGAAAGTTCTACAAAAACAAGCCAAAGTCGTCAATTAACAAATGAGTCGACACTTTGAAAAATATCTTTAACTGGAGCGTAAACTGACATTTCTCAGGGCAACAACAACCACAACAGCCGCCATTCGCCACTGAGTGGCCGTGACGTCATCACAGCACCTGTGCCAGGCCAGGTGCACTTTGAGGCCACGTCAAGTGTCGAAGGGTCGCTGACAGAGGGTTACGGGACAGACCCAGGTGCAATGGGTTGACTGAGATGACTGGCAGATGTGCCCCTTGTGCCCCCTACTGTGTCCTATGTCTCACATTGTCAACGGCTAACACGGTATTTAAAAATGGAAGTTATTTTATACCGACTGATTTAACAGATGTATGCAGTGTGCGATTTCACAACTGGAAACGCATAATTTTCTGCGTAAATTTAATGGCATGTATGTTAAGACGTTATACCCATTCAATGGATGTTATCCAATTTTGATCTCTATTTAGCACACAATTGAAACCACAGCTACACGGGTGTGTATGCTCATTGTTGATCAACATTTAATGATCAAAGGCTCAATCAGCCGAGGTGCAGAGTCTAGTTATCGGCACATTGAGCAGATGTAAATCAGCGGATTGCAGAGGTCGTGACGGTGCGTGCACGTGTATCGGTTGTTGAACGTTAAATAGTGCAAGGCCGTGCAAGGCCCTTTTATATTATCAGCAACACGTTAAATTGCACCCGAAATTTCATCGGAAGCCAATGCAGAGATTTCATTCTCGGCGTACTGGTGCTCACGGGAGCACATCGTGAAACCTGTCGTGTCTACCAACTCCCGTCAGTCGGAGTGACCCCAAGTGGCAGTGCCCACCTGGCTGCGCCTGCTGTGCTGTGGTGCTGCGCTGGTCATCCGGCTTCTGCGCCACTCTCGCAGCGACTGCTGTGTGTTGGCTGCGAGCTCTGGCGTCGCCTGCTCTTCTTGCAGGCTGCCGACCATCAGCAGGGCTGCGTAGACGCTCGTCAGGTAGTATCCGCCTGCAGCAGGGAGTTGGGCGAGCGATTAAGAGGGCACTCGACTGACCGGGAGATCGCACGGTGGACAAAGAAGTGCACGGGCATTTGGATGTAGCCGTGAGATCCGCACATTTGGCCACGGGCAACGTGCATCTGGCTCGGTAACAAGAGGTCAGGAGTGCAGGGAATAGACGTGTGGGTGGAGGGGGCAAACCGTATAGAAGATGGAGTGATGATATTTAATTTTCAGTAATTTAACAGAGCTGTTTTGGACAAAATGCCCAAGCTTTGTAATAGCATTTATAGAGTCGGTTATATGTAAGAGCCATTTAGATTGAACAACTGCTGGAGGAGGGCCTCCCCATGCCATTACTAGTCGAGAGTATTATTTGACCATACATCACCGCATTGGTCAACGCGAGTTGAAGCCGGGTAACGTGGAAGTTGGGAGCGCAGTACGGTGCGGCGGATTTTACTGCACTGCTCCCTGCTGGCAACGTAGCAGCCTAACAACGCCTGTGCATGCATTGTGGTGGATCGCCCATCCGAGCATTGCACAGGATCAAACCTAGATTTGAAGCTTTCGTGACTGCAAGGATTCATACTCTTAGGTTGTTTCGGTAAAGTCACGTAGGTAAAAATAAATAATAAACATAATTGAAATAATATAAATAAAATAATATTATTAATAATATTAATACTTTATAATAATAATAGACATAAATAATATTAATAATATTATTATTTTATTTCTATTATTATTTCTATAGAATCAAACCTACTTAGCTTTCGAGATCCAACGAAGATCGGGTGCATTTGCCAAGCAGCGTTTTAGTCAATAAACTAACCGATCAAAAACACAATCGTCTGCATCCATCAACTATCTACATCCATTACTGGCTAAACAGTGTGGTTTTCGTGGTGCGCAACTGCGGCTCCAGTGGTGTAGGTACGCACTTTCTCCGCTCATGAGGTCCGGGTTGAGCAACTCCATAATGTAGTCCACTTGTATGGCCAGCTGGGGGCAATCGCAGTTCAGCAGGCTGTACGTGAGGACTGGGAAGAAGTCGTCGGCACCCCCTGCAAGAAGACATCGCGAGCAGCAATGTCAACTTTCAAACTCCATTTTTCTCAAATGTCATTTTCAAAATATGTTGCGGCTTCCACTGAAACAGACACGTGGCCAAAAGATGTACAGTTGTTTAGCAAACATTTTACTTTATAAAGTTACTTCTTAAAATGCTATTAGGGTCATGTATTTCTCGAATTTCTCAACTGTAGGTATTTTACGAAGTGCCGATAAAAAAATGTTGAAACGTGATAGTAAACTGCTATGCTTGAGACAAACAAATAAATACAAAGTTTTCACTATTTACAAACTTTTACAGCCACGTAAAAAGTATGCTTTGTTTTTCTTCCTGACTAAGACAGTGTTGGCATTTTAAGATATTTATATTGAAAATAACTTACACGTGTACATCGGTAGTTTTTTTATGCAATGTACATATAATCCATGAACTGCGCTATATGAATGTTCTGATTATGCCCTCTATGTTACTGCTGCTTCCATGTTCACAGTTTCTGGATCGTCGAACATCAACACGCGGCACAACTAGACTCGTGCCCCCATGTTCATTTTGAGAAACGTGGACTGCCAGTTGAGGTGGTTCGGGCACCTGGTAAGGATGCCCCCCGGTAGACTCCCCCTGGAAATCTACCGGGCAGCACGTCCCACTGGGCGAAGACCCCGGGGCCGGCCCAGGACCACGCTGCTAGCGGGACCATGTCACTCGGCTGGCTTGGGAACGCCTGAGAATTCCCCAAGAAGAGCTAGAGTCTCTCGCCAGGGAAAGGAAGGTCTGGGCCGTGCCTCTACTCAACATGCTGCTACCGCCACGGCCATCGCCAGGACAAGCGGATTGAGAAACGAGCGAACGAACGACTGCATTCTAAAACTCTAGGGAGCCTGCCACTCCATCGGTATCCGGAGGCTGCCATCTCATCGTACCTTCACCGGAAGACCCCATCGCATCGTAGACCATCTTGCAGACCTTGAGCAGGGAGTCCACCTTGACCTTGGGCGAGTAGGAGGCTGCCAAATCGCTCAGCTTCGCCCTGATCCTCTCCTGTGTCGCCGGGTCAGGAATGTTCACGCTCGGTGAGACACCCAGCTCTGTGGGCAGCTGAGAGCGTCCCCAGAAGCAGTTGCTCTGGAGGCGCTTTACAAGGCCCTCCTTGTTGTGCGTAGCCATCAGCGTCTTCTCCAGCGTGGCCTTCAGCGGCTTCAGGATGCACTTGTACAGAGCCTTCTCCACTACGTCGTCTGGTGAAGACACGAGAAGCAGACGCATGACCCCCTCGATATGTAAGAATCGTTCACGTGTACTTGTCGTCTTCATTCACTCTTGGGAATGAGACTATCCCGGTTTCTTGAGCTCCCACCAGCTTAAGTAAATCAAAATAAACTTTACTATTCCCCTATTAGCAGCAGCAATGGAGTCGATATTTGTTCACGTCTAAGAAACTGAGTGAAAATGTACACTTTTCCATTGGCTGTAAGTTTACTTTATTGTGCTGTGAGGTGTTTACCGTGAATTTCTATCAGTGCACTTTGTCACAGGCGGATTGGACACAACTACCATGTAAGACCCGAGCCTTATGGGGGTCTTGCGTAAAGCTTCCTGTTCACAAGGATTCGTGCGCCTTTTGGCGTCATCTGGTCCAACACCATGTGAGACTAGGCTCTAAAGAAAGCTGTCTCCGGGTGTGGACCAATCAATTTCAAGGACAGTGCATACATAATCAGAGTTGTCTTTTTGTTTGCATTCCGACTGCAGGTATTGTGGTCAATGCAAACATGACTCCTTGTAAAAAAAGGTGTCAGTTTTGTTGCCAGATAAAAGGGTAAAAAAACAATTATCAAGGATTCTAAAATTTTAGTTCACACATTTCCGTCTAGATTTATTAACTCCTTCATGTTAGTGTGCACGTGCAAATGAACTGTTCGTGTAAAATGCGCCACCTGAACATAGTTTATTATAGTATTTCACTAACAACGATTTCAAAGTAGAACAGGTAAAGTGTAACTACGATGACTCGGCATTTTTGGTTTCCCTTGCAGCTGAAACGTTGAGTCACCGTGTTCGCACTGTGGTGGCTTTGTGCCACTGTGAATAGAATGGCCAACTGTTGTGTGAGCTGACATTAAATGTTCTGGAACACTCTTCTCTGAGACCTCCACAACGGAACGATATTCTCGTTCATGTAACGTTTCTCACTTCAAGAAACGTATCGACTCGTATCTATTGCACCTTCAAGAGCACTGTTTGTTGCTGGCCGCATGGTGTTTTGGATCTTTCAGCCTGTGCTCATGAACCGTGGTTAATTTTTTTCTATCCATAATCTCCATTGGCTATTTTGAAATTCCATGTTCCTGTGGTGGGGAATACCCACATCATTGTCAACAGCTTTGATGAATTCTCACGGCGTAGTATTCATTATTCCTTCCTCGAAATGATGATGATGGACTCAATTGTGCACATCGATGACATGGGCTCTGCTGCTTTACTAACCGAGCGACACCATGGCTGTGTATGTCACTCGACGTCATCAGCCATGATCTATCCACTGCTGGGTGAAGGCCTCCCCAAGTGTACAACATTAAGAGTAGGCCAAATACCCTCTAGCAGGGTTTCTCAAGAAGTTCCCTCTCGTGGAAGCCCTTCGGCCAGCAGTGGCATGAGCAAGACGTTTCACGGCTGCACTTTGAATATTACGTGAGATCTTACGATATGGCTACTCGTCCTATCCTATCAAACTATGCCGAGGTGTGATGCCACAAAAGCATAATGCCGATAGCCGTTAACGTGAACTCGGGTTGCTGTCTCTCTCTTGTTGAGGCCTCTGCCGTCGTGAGAAATCTGTAAGTCTTCCCGGGACATTACCGTTCCCGGATTTCTCTTGTTGTCAGTTGCGTTAAAATTCGCGACTCGGGGCAAAGGATTCACACGTAGGACGTCCCACGTGATCGGTATTGCGAGGTTTCACGCGTGAGAACAAAACGAATGCGATCATCAAATCAGATCGCCAGCACGTTTGACATTTGCGCTATTCTGGTACGGGGAAGGAGGTGGTCGTTACCTATCCGGTGCTCGGAGATCATGGCCTCGAGTGGTGGCTCTATCTCGTTGCACTGGATCAGGTACATCTTGAACTGCGTCATGGTCTGCCGCACGGATCTCAGCAGCTCCTTGCCGTCGCCGCAGGCCTGCGTGGGGTCCGCGAAGCCGTTCTTCACCAGGGTCACGTAGTCCTGGACCAGGCACCCGAAGTAGGCATTGCGGGAGGATGCCAGCTCCTTTATGCGGCGTGTCACACGCCGCTCGGGCATCTGCAGGGTGTTGCTGATGATGCCGAGGGCATTGCGAAAGCCTGGCAACAACCCCCTGAGCCGCATTCCTGTGAAATGACAGCACAGTTGAGACGTCGTCATCAGCATCGTCGTCGCTGTCCAACGCAGGCAAACACATCGTTCACATTGAAGCGCAACTTCGTTGCGTTGCCTCTTACACGGTTTCGCTGCCGTGAGGCTCTCCTGTGTTTTCGGGCTACACCGCGTATTGCTCGGCACGGTGTCCGACGTTTCGCTCCACGTGCTGGAGCTGCGCTTATCGTCATCGTCATTAGCCGTGGTCAATTCACTGCTGAATCGAGCCATCACCATTCCTCGTGGTCCCACCATGCAAGAATCCATGAGTCAATTTCATCGAAACCATCTCTGCGATAAGCAACACTCTTGGGCACGTTCCTTCCTTTGGCTGACACTCGGCTTATGCACGTGGTCGACAAATCTCAGTGTCCCAGACACACAGGCGTTGTTGGGTGGTGATAATCTCCACTGCTGCTACCGAGTCGGTAGTGGAAATTGCACATTCCTGTGGCCAGGACCAGTCTACCATACAACAATGACCCATTGAATTTCGACAAGATGGTACGAATTTATCAACCCTGTAAATATGACGTGCTTAGTTGACAGCCCTAGGCCAGGATTTGAACGTATTTCCCTCCAGCTGCAAGTGAGGTGGTTTCCCACTGGACCATGAAGCGAACTTTTATAGCTCACAAGTCACAATCGATGTCAAGCCACGAATCGTTGATTTTACAACACACAAGGGAATTACATAATTAATCTCAACATCACTTGACGTCAGTAGACTTGACACCAAGCACCAATGCATAACAAACAAGGTGAAAGTGTTCTCCTTCTCCAACGTGTGTTTACGGCTTGGACCGCGCATTGTACGGCACGATGCTCGACGGTTTTGTTCCACGACCTAAGTGGCTTCCTTAAGAACTCAACTGAAGAAGCCCCCCCCCCCCCAACCTCTGGCACGTGGAACAAAAACGTCGGACATCATGCTGAACGACCTTGGCGTGGTTACGACCCGAAAAAACTCATCGTCAGAGCCTTGCAGCAGCGCAAGCGCGCAAACCCGCGCGGTAAATTGTTCTACCTCGTGTGCTGTTGAAGCCAGACTGGCTGTTCCAATGGGACGTCGAGTGGGCAGACTCCACATCCAAGTCCGACTCCAGCTCGGACGACGAGGTGGACAGGCGGTTATCGCCCGGCGAGCTGCTGCTGGCGCTCATCGCGTTGGAGCCACTGCTGCTGCTGCTGCTGACGCCTGAAGACGTTCGCCTCAACGTGCCGCGCCATTTGTCGATCACGGGCTTTGAACGCAGCCGTGGGATAGGGCCGGCTGGAAGCCAGTCACTCGCCTCGGGATGCGGCCCATCGACTGTGACCTCCTTCTGGCCCGCGGATGCAGTCTTGCCAGGAAGCGAGAGCGAAATCATTGCTTTGCCTCGTTGGCTGAGCATCTGCCCAAGCTGCGCCTTGCCATCCACTAAGCAAGCGGGTTGTTCCTGAATAAACAGCGGGTCGACGAAGCACAGCCCGCTGTCTTCATTTTCCCCCACGCGCTCGTTCATGAGCTGCCCTGCTGGATCCAGCTTCACGTACACGCTGTCGTCCGAGCTGTTTGAATATCTCTGATGATCCTTGTGCAGCGATGAGCACCAGAACTCTGCACAAGAGATTATTGAAAGATTATTTCACAAATAGAGCCATTCATGGAAGCAATTATAAGGGTGGGGGCATCAGTGGTGAAGTGGTTCTCGCACTATGCTATAAAACTGTTGACCACGGTTAGAGTCCTGGCTAAGGCTAATTATTTGTTAACCAGATCTGGGGTGCCCTCTTCACCAACCCCCACTGAGCAGCGTGGTGAAGGTGGCTCTGACAACTGCCATCACTGACATGGTGTGCGGAAGCCTTCCTCCAGCAATGTGTGCCACGGTGGCGAGATGTTAGCTACATCACCCGCTCTATACAAGAGGCCGTGGGCTCGATCCCGACCCAAACGCCTGTATAATTGAAGTTTGCATGTTCTCACTGTGGTCGCGTGGGTTTTTTCTCTGGGTCCTCCGGTTTTTCCCTCCATGTTTAGTAACATGAGTATTTGGCTGCTATAAATGTCAACATGATAAGCCACTTCGTTGAACTATCATTTGTGGCCGAGTCGCTTCTGACAAAGAGCTATGTAGCTCAATTGGCCTTACCTGGTAAAATAAAAAAAATAGTTTAGTTTAATGGATTGGTATAGGGCTACACCTTACTTTGTTGTTGTTGTTAGCATTACTATCATAATATAAGGCGACGCAGGCCTGAACATAGGTGGACAATCTCTAATGAGGGCGTGTGAAGCAGGCGGATCGATCCGTCCGTGTCGAAGTGAAGCTGCTCAGCGAGTCGTCGTACCAATCCCCATCTTGGCGATGGACTCCAGCTGATGTTGCGTGGAGGCTGCCTGGATCACTGGAGGCAGAATGAGATTGAAGTCCAGGATGTCTCTGTGGAGGAAGCAGGGAAACCAACACGAGTTAAAATTGAAACAGTCGTCAAGTATAATCAAACTTTTGTTGTTCTTTTACATTGTTGTTGAAAACAGATCTCATGATGGATGTCAAGGGGGCCCCAACTCGTAGCTTTGGCCAACATGGGGGGGAGGGGGGCAAGGCACCCCCTGCCTGCCCCCCACGCTCGCTACGCTACTGGACACGGCATTTTCATGTTGTGGCAATTTCAGAAATTTTTTCCAAGCTGTGAGCAACACAGCTGCTCCTTCTCTCCCTTAACCCCCCCCCACTGCCCCCCCCCCCCCCCCCCCCCACTGCCCCCCCCCCACTGCCCCCCCCCCCCCACTGCCCCCCCCCTCCTGTGTGGGACTCACCGGCTGGTGGTGTAGAAGGCGACGAGTTTGCACAAATCTGGAAAGGTGAGCTTGGAACCATCCAGGGAAAATCCTGCAAAGGTAAATGAAGACGTTAAGTCAACAATGCTCCTTTTTATTGCTGTTGCGCACAAGAATGTGGTTCAACAGCTAGCATGTGGGCCGGTCCAAGGTCCGTTTGTGCTTACGGCCTCTTCGTGCGACCGATAAAAGTTTAATTGAAGGCTGTACTGAGGGCAATGGGCGAGCTTGTATCAAGAATGCCGACAAAAACATTCGTGGAACTGCGCAACAGAGGTTGGGCAAGGAGTGACAGCATCCCGCCAAATTGATGGCCTGTATTTGATACGTGGAGACATGACTTTATGCACCTGCCCATTTGTGGAATTTTAAAAAAATCACCATATTGTCAAAGTCTGTCATGTGCTGTTTTTTATTCTTAAGATCATGTTACTTATTTCACAAAAGTGGCCCTTTGTACACATGTCAATGAACTGAATATTGTATATTTTCTCAATAATGCCAGTGTGTAACGCGCATGACGTCACTCCACGTCGACCAGCCCCCCTCATTAATAATCATGAACAGGTTACATCCTCCACACAAACCCCCCCCCCTCATTAATAATCATGAGCGGGTGACGTCACTCGACATGGGGGTAGGGGGGCGAGGCGCCTCCTCCCCTCTCCTCGGCGTCAACTTACAGCCCTCACTACAAAGGCAGAACCCTCACGTCCCGCGATCTCCGTAAAGCTATTGAGACGTCAAAGTAAAAAGGACGTCAAGATGAACAAGGGATTATAACCTCTACATGAAATCAGTCTGTGTCACCGCGCCCTTAGCACCACGCGACCACGAGGAGAACATGCAAACTCCAAATATACAGGCTTCGGGGTCGGGATCGGACCCACGACCTCCTGTATACCAGGTGAGTTGGTTAACATCTCACCACCGCGGTACCATAACAATAACTTAACGGTTGACCTTTTGCAATGCAGAGGTCACCCGTTCAGTCTCCCGGCACGGCAGTTGAAATCAATACACCGCGTTTCTTGAATGCCTGCCTCCATTAACCCGGCAGGACAAATGGGTACACCACAATAGGCCAAACCACCCTCTCTCGAGCTCCCTTTAGTGGTAAGCAATTGCAGGGCCGCATTTTTTCCCTTAGCCCCTTTACGAGAACATACCGTTCTGACTTAACCGTTCCGGTGTTCGCTGGAGTCGTCGCATCATACCTGACTGTGTCTCGAGAATGGGGTAATCGCGCACAAAGAGGCAGCCTTCCCCCTTTGTCCAGCGCACGCTGATCACTTTCTGCTGGGTCTTCTTTGAGCGTCGCACGATGAACGTCTGCACAGAGGGAGGAATTGAATAAATGTAAGGAGTCGTCGGGTTGCATTGCATTCATCCCTCCCGCAGCAGCCCTCCTTCAAGCCCACTATGAGGGCCATTCGTGCCTGGAGGTTGACGACAGCAGGGCCAGGGGGTGTCGGCTTACTGTGGGGAGGAAATCCCCCGGCTAAATTAAGCCGGGTGGCAAAACGTGTGCGAGTGGTGGCTCTACAATGTGTTTTCTTTAGTGCCAAATGCATGAGTAAAGCCAATTTTTATATAATGTCTTAGAAAATGTGACGACTGCAGTGTTGACTGTCTATGTTTTAGCAAATATATTTATTGGCAGGACTTATTTCACAGACGTGTAAGAATGTATTCCTCCCTCCCCCCTACACACTTTACCCCTACTCCGTTTATTGGTCACTAGCATAGAGATGGCATCAGTCCATAACGTGCAATGTAAATGCATTGATTTTTCCACTCGAGAATTCGAGACATGTATCATGAGCCTCGTGGTCGACATCCATTCATCGATGTGACGTTTCACCTCCACTATCAAACGTGTCGGCAGAAGGTGGTGTCTGGCCTCTTTGACGGGAAAACGTTAGGAGAGTTTGTTGGCCCCCATCAGCAGAGAAGATTGCCCCGTGGTCATAGCTAACGATAGAGAGGCGAGCCACGGGAGAGAACGCGGTCGAGAGGACGCCCACCGTGGAGATAGAGCGTCGAAATCGCTGGCGTGCAGGAGCTCTCCGTGGGACTGTCATGTTGAAGATATAGATGTTGGGAATATCTCAAAAGGAAGGAGGAATGGAAAATGTTGAGCCTCAGCAGGGCAGGTTGCCAATATTCTCACGAATGTAAAATATAATAATAATTTACATTTGCAAGGTCCATTTCAGCAAAGGATCCCAATTGACGGCGTGTATGGAAAGCAGGGAAATAAGGTGGAGGCAGCAGTGTAAACGACTCAAACTATGGGGACAATACCATTTTAAAGAGGTGAGTTTTCATGGGGAAGATTTAAATATCACTTAAGATTCCGATCGTCTTATTATCTCGAGGCAACGCATTCCATCGTCTTGGAGCTGCTCCGGCAAAAGACCGAGCACCTCCAGGAATGGAGCCTGGACCTCGGACTACTAAAGACTAAGAAGATCTACTTAAGAGAAGGCGAGACTGCGGTGGTCTGAGCACGTGTTGAGAAGAGAGAAAAACAAAAGATGCAATGAGAGGGGTTATGGAAGAAGCCGCAAAGGGACACCAAGGCTGAGAGCGATGGACAACGGTGGAACAGGACAAACAGGGCAGGGGGTGGATGGATGGCATTCGAGAATAGGCACAGAGCAGAGGAGACGTGAAGAAACCAAATCCGATGAAGGCCCGTTAGAAATTTCGATTCCTTGGGGAGGCCTTCATGCAGCAGTGTATTGATTGACGCTAAAAGCTAAATGGCCTTTACCTGGGAGAATAAACATAATTTAGTTTAATTTGTTTTGTGATTCGCTTACCTTCCCTATACTTTGCACCCCTGTCGTGTTTCGTGTTACCGTTTGTTGTTACAACGTTCTGACCCCGTGTCCCTACAAGGACGTCCGCGAAAAAAAGGGCCTTCACGGCTCAACGCATTCCCCCAGCGGGAATAAAACATTCCGATTCCGACGGCCGCGGCTGAATGGGAGCGACGATGCAATGGGCCCTCTCTCTCTCGCTCTCACCCCTGGCTTTTCGCCCTGCAGCGTGTGCAGGACCGCCGCCTCGTCCACCCCGAGCAGGAGCCAGACGGAGCAGGTGAGGCTCAGGCGATCGAGGACGCTGACGCTGGGCAGCGCGCGCACGTGCTGCCGTGCCGCAACGCTGCGGCGAGGTCCGCCCGCCTCCCGCTCGTCACCTTCCGCTTCGTCCGCGTCGCTCTGCGCGTCACTGCACGGGGAGACAGCGGCATCATGACACTGCCGCTCGATGCGCCCTCGCCGTGGCTCGCCGTGGTCACAATGTCACAATTGGCGACTTTCGGTGCGCTGGCTGTGGCCCAAAATCTCTGGGGAGCTTTGTGGTGGTCAGCAGAGAGCAGTGTGGCAAAAGTCATTTTTGTACTGTACTTCTATGCCCCCCACGTCTATGCTCGCCGCTTTCACCAAACCTGCACTGACCAGCGTGGTGAAGTATGGTCAAACTCCCACCATACTCTTAGGGTTTTTTTCGGTAAAGTCACGTAGGTAAAAAACTAAAATAAAAATGTATTACTTTATTTTATTTCTATTATTACTTTTATTGATTTTATAATTATTTTTCCTACGTCACTTTACCGAAAAAACCTAAGAGTATGAATCCTTGCAGTCATGAAAGCTTCAAATCTAAAATTCCCACCACCAGCACAGCAGGCGTTGTTTGACACGTGCTATGAGGCGGCTTGCTATATGAAGGCTGTTATGAGGCTGGTGCCATTCGGTTCTAAGCAGCTGTATTAAATTACAGCCACGTATGTGCCACTAATTTCATCATTCCATCTCCGCTTCAGTACCCCCATGCACGTGTATTCCCTTTGCTCCATTCCATTTTCTTGACTCCATTCCATTTTCTTGACTCCATTCCATTTTCTTTATTCCATTATTACTCTTTACCTTACACTTGCTGCACATTGACAAACACGTATACCTCACCGTTACAATTAATTTGTAATCATTATTATCATCATCTTTTCGTATATGTGTGGTTTTCAACTTTGTTATTTTTCTTTCGTTTCCTCTAGAGAAAAGGAGTGCATTTATGCGAACACATTATTTCCCGGAGAAAGCCACTCGTATTGGAAATTGTTAATTTAAGTTTACGTGTGCTTGCATGTCTGCGTTTGTTTGGATTTGGGTTGTCACAATTTGGTGAGACTACGATACATCAAACGATGTGAGGTTTGCGATAATCGCATTGACCGTTTTGTTTGTGAAATACTATGTATCCTGCGTTTTCGTTGCTCGTTTTCTGTTCATTCACATCGCGCTGCCTGACAAAATATGTATTATGAAATAACAAAAGCACAAAAAATTACATTTCTAGAGAAATGTCGCTATTACCCATCAAATGAGTGCTTTCCAAAATGTTTCACGGAATAATTGATGCAATGGCAGGTAGACGAGACTCATCATTTGTGCAGTTCATTTCAGGATGTCATTCTATCTAGTGCAACCGACAGTATGCTCGCTACACGTATTACAGACGATAACGCTGCAATGATTAGCAAACTTATTGCAGGCCTGTGATGACTGAAACGCAAAGAACATTGAGGTACTCTTTACTTGTGCTGGACTTACACCAAAGCACACAAACGACACAAACATTTTGAAATACGAGTACACTGCAGAGTTTTGGGAAAGTGACATCGTAAAAAATCGTGTTGTGTTAAAAAATAAATATAGTATCATGTCGCGAAAGATTGTTTATCACGGCACCCCCAGTTTTGATGTTGCTGAATGTAGACGGCTAACAGGCGTCCTGTATCAAATGTCGAGTGCGGTGGGCCGTGCAAAGGAGTGATTTACTCGTAGGGCTTTGCCAAAATAACTAACAAGTATAACCCGTAAAAACAAAGTTTTTCACTATAAATCCTTTATATGCGTGGCGGCTAGAGTCCTCTCGTCCTCTGGCTTGAGATGGCTGCCACCTATGGGTCAGATGATTGTCTGCCAGTATTAAGCAATTGGTAATTAAATATTTAATTTGTTTTCCCTAAACAGTGTAAAATTTAGGAATTTTTTGTTTTCACGAACATTAATTGTCTCGCACAACGAGTCTGTGTGCAAAATGTCAGCTCGATTGGATCACGGGAAGTGGGTTAAAAAACGACCGAAAGATTTGCACGGTCGTAAGCAAGCAAGCACGCAAGCAAGCGAACTTAATATAAAGGATTTAAAAAACGCAGCGATGGCGTTGTTGGGTTAGCAGGGCTATGATCATTTATTGTCGAACATCGTGACCCTGTGGGTGGTGGCACGCTACTTACTTGACGGTCTCACAATCGTGCTGCCCCGCAGCATCTTCAGCAATTTCTTGCCACATGCAGCGCAGCTCCTTTGAAAACGTCCTCATCAACTGTAAAAAAGCGAGAGAAATACGCTAACGATGCCATCGCATTCAGACCAGTTCATTTTGCATATATATACACACATTATCCACAAACACATTCCTGGGGAGGGAGCTGGTAGAAACGTTGAGTTGCTCGGTCAATGGTCAGGGTCAACGGCGGCGTGGTGTATTAGGCAAATATGGCCGACTGAGGGCGGGCACAAGCCGGCGTGAGTAGGTTAAACGTTGGTTGAGTTTTATAAGGGCACCACGGGGTGACCAGCCCCTCCCTACCCAGCCCCACCCTTCCCACCCCCCACCCAGCCCCTCTCCACCCTCCCCTCTCCACCCAGCCCCACCCCTCCCATTTTTGGATGCACGACGGACGGACACAATAATTCCCTGTGGGCTGGTGTAACCAGGAGGTTCCTACCAGTATTACAGATACCTAGTAGAATTACTTTTCATGCCAAAACAAATAAATGCTCGCTTCTTTGTTCAGAGACGATGTGCCCACGGCCATTCAATGCGAGCCTCATCGAGTTCCTCCGGTCTAAATAAAGATTCTGAATCTGAGTACATGCCTTGTTTAAATATGAACGCTTGGAATGAACGAGAGCACGGTGTGTCATACATGTGTACAGCCCCTTGGTCAATCCACTGCTGGATGATGGCCTGCCCACACCGTGAAGGCCATGACCATATTTAACCGATCTGGTCGGTGAGGGTTCGTGAAGGCGGCGAGCATTGATGGAGGACTATTAGATTGCACAGTACAGTACAACAATGGATTGTGTTACATGAACCACAATGTAACATCGTAGCCTATATCACCCATCATGCATTGTTGTCGCCCATCCAAGCCCAACCCTGGTTAGCGTCTGAGATGTGAAGCAATCTGGCACATTCTGGCCGACTTGCTCAAAGGAATTGAGTGCGTCACAGGCGGAATTTACCCAGTGATTAAAGACATATTTGAAAGACAGTTCAGACTCATGATTTAGACTGGAGGAATCCGATGAGCTATGAAGCTCTTTTTCACACATGCCCAGCCGAGGAGGGGTCAGTAAGATACGATACAAAAACAGATAGGAATACAAAAACCGATGTTCTGAGTGCACTTGTCGCAACCTGAATTACAAACGGCACAATCGCTCTTCCACACATAAAGTGACGCAACTGAACTCGAGTAAAGTCACGTAGATAGGTTCAAATAACCTATTTACGTGACTTCAACGAAACACCCAAAGAATATGAATTCCTGCAGTGGCAAAAGCTTTAAGTCAAGATTTAAACTCGGGTAGAGGTGGTAGTGGTGGTGGTGGTGGGCATAATTTATGGAAAGGAGTGTTTCCCCAGTCAAGGTGAAGCTGATTGGAATGTGGTCAAACGTGAATGTCAGAATGCTTTTCTGCTTTGTCTTGGGTATGTGGCAGGGCACGAAAGAATGCCAAGAACGCCTGGTTTACAGGGTGCATTGATAATTAACATAGAGTGGGATTGTGGTCGAGGCTAATGCTGGAGTTGCAGCCGAAGAAGGGAACGCGCTCGAGTCGCGATGAACCCATCCCGTGTGCAGGTGCACCTCCGATGATGACGGTTGGCTACGTACGGTGCGAAAGAAGTTCAACATACGTACATACAGAAAACGGCCTATGGTCAATGTGATGGCACTGCAGCTGGCTAATCACTGCGTCACCTCTCGACAGGTCTGCTACGTACGATGTGCAAGATGTTCAGCATACACACATACATAGAGGAGGATTGTTACACCACAGGCTCGCTTGGGGAGGCCTCCATCCAGCAGTGGATTAACAATGACTGATGACAACTATTAAGTCTGTATTGAAGTCAGCTAGTGATACCAAATTTTAGATTTGAGAGAATGATAAAGGAAAGCATGTACAGTGTGGGAGTTGCAATATTTGTCTAAGTTATCATTTTCTTGTTATTAAAATAGAACCCCTATTTGTTTGCATTCCTATTGAGGTAACAAGTAACACCGCGTACTGGAATCGATTGTCGGCTCTTATAACGACTACTAATGCATACCTGTTAACCCACCGGTTTAGCCCGTATTCTTGTGCAGGGAAATTGAGCTTTCAGGTCAAGACGACGTACAGCCGTTTCAATGCGGGCAAAATAAAATGTCTGTTTCTCCATTGTGATGGGACTTTGTAGGATGAACGTTGATATTTATAAGGGCACGGGGTGACCAATAAAATCTGAATTTGTCTGTAATAAGGTAGCCACTGATAAGGGGTTGACAGGTATGCTAATAACTCCGGACAACGCAGCAAAATCCATCGAGTTTGTGTCACGCGGCACAGTCGAGTTAAATATTTCCTCCGTGTGGAACGCACTCCGCAGCGAGCGCAATGTCCCAGGCACGACACCTCTTACGAGTACCAAAGATGGCGGGGGAAAGGTGTCACACTGCACCTGAGGGTCATGTCCAGCCATGGCCAACAGCAGCGGCGAGGCGGTGAAATCTGAACCGGTCTTTGCCCCCCCCCCTGCCCCCCTCTGCCCCCCAGTTCACAAACCCTTACCTGAGCAGGGTTGTGGTCAAACGATCCACAAGACTAATGATGAGTACGACACGAGGACACCTTAATCCAGTGGAAGATCAGCACGGGGTTGTAAATACTATACTTGTTATTTTTTGAGAAATCGTATCAGCTTGCTGATGCCATCAAACATGAACAGAATGTGTATTTATACGAAGGGAATCCGATGAGCTATAGAGCTCTTTTTCACAGATGTCCGGTAGAAGCAGCAGCCGAAAACTTCACGAAAATAATCGAGTGAGACAACGAGAGCTTACTCCCTTTCAGTTCCCGACAGAGCTCGCAGCACGCGGCGCGGGACGTCGGACATCATGCTCGCAGCACGCGGCGAAGCTGGCGCGGCATCGCCGCGGAGGCTGTGGATGAGGTGCGGGGCTCACCACGAGGGAAGGCTTGGAGAGGATTTCAGCCGGAGTCCGCGAACGCTGCGTCATCTTTGCGCTCCCAGCAGCAGCAACAACAGCAGCAGCAGCAGCAGCAACAGCAGCAGCAGCAACAGCAGCAGCAGCAACAACAGCAATAGCGGCAGCAGCTGTAGCTGCAGCAGCAACAGCAGCAGCAGATGCCTCGCTTGAGTGACCCCTTGGGTGGCCCAGGTGAGTGGTTTTCTGTGCTCGTGTCTTCAGGCCACGCCCTCACCTGCGGCAGGTGAGTTGTTAGCGCGATGACGCGAGGGGAGCAGCGAGTGCCTTGAAAAACATCGTCGGCGAAGCGTCACCTCATCCACTGCTTATATACAGCTTGATGAAGGGCGTCGCCATTCATGCATGATATTAGCATTCATTGACGAAGGTACATACAGTTCAGTTTAACACGAAGGAGGCTTTCGTGACCCATAGCATCCATCATTTTTTTAAAGTTAGATCGCGTAAACATATTAATGTGTCGTTAAACCCGCCACCACCCGACACAGCCAATTAGTAAGGTTTGTCACGTAAACAGAACGTGCCAAATCGTTACTAGTGCAGCACACCCGGTGTGTTGGAGAGCAAATCCACAACATTTACAATCTGAGCCCGACGTTTCACCAGTAATCACGAGGAGCTTCATCAGGCGGCAGCCAGACTTGTGGAGAAATCCTGTTGTTGTTTAGCAGCGAGCCAACTGCGATATGTGCTCGTTTACAGTAATTTTTGATCATCATACTTTCCAAAGATATTTCCCCCGAATTAAGTGGCAGTAATATACCGTCGTGAGGATGTTTTTGTTCCGTTTGTACCAAAGAGGTTTCAACTTACATCACTTGCCATGAAAGTGGACCACAAATAGCAGCGAACACTTCCCACTTACAACGCGTGGTCCCTGACAATAAGAATCCGACTTCCCTTTACCCACACGGAGCCGCTAGCCACTGGCCACAACTTCCGTCACCCACAAAATTGTAAATAAAAATAAATCTACACAGCCTCTAAAAGTTCCATTTCTAAATGCAATTGTAATTGTACACTATGTGCCAATTGCAAATATTTTATTGGTTGGCTTTTATTTGTTTCAGATTGTAATGTTTCGCAGTTGCTGCGTAGGATGCAATACGGTAATCATCACCCTTGAACATGTCTTCGGCTTTCGCTATAAACATTGTGGTTCTTAATTTATTTTGGGTCAGATCGCGACACACATTATACTTACGCGATCTGATCAAACACTCGATTATGAATCATCATCATCATCTTCCTCCTCATTGTCAGCCAAGCTCAATCCACTGCTGGATAAAGGCTGTCTCCGTGTCTAACAATTCTGCGATATAATGAATCTATCCAGAATCTGCACCCAACGCTCCACCGGCCCAGTGGATGTCTTCTCGGATACGTTCCATTCCTCGGCATCTATATTCATGCCCATTTAGCGACGCGTGTTGTTACATTCAAACTACTCCATTACTTTCTTTAACGGTTTGTAAGCAGAGAATCGGTAAAAAGTTCAAGTCTAGCATTCTGAAATATTGCATCATTTTGCAAAATGTCTCAACTGAATAAGAGACGTGTGGCCTCAATGCATTCTTAACTGACAATAAATAATCCGTCTCATATGCACATGGTAATAATGAATTAATTACTTATTACAACCACCATCTCAAATGTGTGGGGATGTTTTCACCTTTACTTTGTCTTTACAACACTGTGTGTGTACGCTGCACTTGTACGTAGCCGACCATGCCCAGTGGAGGTGCGGGGGAAGGACAACAAACTAAACCCAGTGTCGTTATTACATTCCAAGTTAATGTGTTTCGTCTCTGCATTCTGAGCACGTAAATGTGCAGGTGACGTACTACAAAATATAATTATGGTGCTGTAAAAATGCCACAGGCTGCAAATGGGTAAATATACCCCTTTAAGTAAAACAAGCTGAATATAATAACGTCACTTTTTTTTAATTATCTTTGCGGTAAATACCTATGCAGTATTGTCACGGTCTCTAAAGCAACCACATTTAACACTTACCAGCTTTTTGCAAGTCGCTCACTCGAAGCCACGGTACAGATGATCGGCTATAGCAGACACTTCAAGGGCACGGCATGGTGTTGTCCTTGCTTGGGTGAACAGTTGCGATGGTTGCCCGATTGGCTGCCTCGGTGCTATTGTAATAAAGGACTCGACCACGATGTCTGGCTTGGTGTCCTTTATTCGGTTCTTCTCTCTTAACCCGCACGGCTGTCCTTCTATAAGACTCTATACTGACACTGATACTGCTCTCCTGCAGTTTCTCCCCTCGTCGTTCTCTCAGCCTCTCTCTCCTCTCGTCGCTCTCGTAGCCTCTCCCTCACACACAGCCTCGCCGGCTGTGTTCCCCGCAGCTCCTCGTCCGCCTTCTCTCCAGCCGCCCCACCGCTGTCTTCTCTCGCAGCTCCGCTGGCTGCTCCCTTAGCTGGCCACCGCTGGCCGCCGCTGCCACCCCTTGGCTTTGCCCACGTGGCCTTACTCTGGTCCAGTCCCACTCGTTCTCCCTTCCTCTTCCGGTCTCCTCCCTTAAGAACCTTAACCTTTCCTCCCACGTCACCTAACTCCACCTCTCCGTGACGTCACATCCGGGAGGTCGCCCGCGCCCGCATTACACCACCCTCCCCCGTGGAGAAAAACCCAGCCGACCTCGGCTGAACAACACCAACAGTAATGCGGGCGAACCCGAGCGTAACACACCAAAGGACACCAAGCATGCAATATAACAGTAAGAACAATCAACACAACTCAACAATCAATAACGTAGCAGAAGCAGGCAATAAATACACAGTAAGAACAATACAACATAACAATCAACGAAACACAAGGGATTTTGAGCGTGTGCGGGTCGCCGGCCCGTCCCGGACGGTCGGCGGCCCATCCGCGGAACGGGAACGTGATTGAGTTTGAGGAGCGACAGGGTGAAATCCCCCTGTCGCTGTTGGAAGTCCACCAACGTCCCGTGTCCTTGAAGGATCAGTCTTGGGCTTGTCCCGCGGATGCGTCTGCAGCGGGGTCGGAAGGGCTGCAGGGCTCGAAGGACCCGCAGATCTGGCAGGCACCCTCCGAGCAGAGCGCCTCGTCCCCTCCGGTGTCAAGGCCGGCCTGCCTGTTTCGGTGGATCCTTGGGCGGCTTGGCCGGTAATGAGGCCTCCTGTTGTGGCGGACCCGGGATGCGGGCCCAGCAGTCCTTCGCGTAGTGGCCCTTCCGTCCGCAGCGGAAGCAATCGGCGTCGTTGCGCCGAAGCGCAGGCCTTGCATCGCGCCGCCCGCGTATTGGCGGTGCAGCACGAGAGGCCGGTCCACCGCGGCCTGACCATGGCACCGAGGCGGCCGTCAGCTCCTGAGGGCCCCGCTCATCCGGCACGTATACCGACTTCGTAGGGTCCCAACCCAGAGCGCCACCCTCCGCGACGGGCCCCCCTGTCCACGCCGTGACCTGTTTCCATCGTCGTAGGTTGAATTGTGCATCCAGACATTTCGCCGCCGCCCGGGAGGTGAGCTTCTCATGCCCGCACACCGGCATGGGAATCCCAAGATCCCGCGACAGCTCGAGCATCTTGCCCAAGATGAGAGGCTCGAGCAGGTCAGGTGTTGTATCTGGATACGCGGCCATAGCCAAATCAAGCACTGCACCCCTGTACGCCACAGGCGACTCCTCGGGCGCTCGTTGTCGTTGAGCGAATCGCCGATGCGCGTCGTCAGGTGGCTCGTAGGCGTCGGCCATTTCTTGAAAAACTCCATATAATGTCCTCTTCTTCTCGGCCTTAATGGAGCGAAAAAAACGAACAGATTCGTCGTCCAGAAGAGTCGGCAACACTTCCAAGGCCTCAGCATCGGTCCATCTCGCAGAACGGACCGCCGCTAAAAATCTGCAGGCGAAAGCGCTCCAGTCGCCCCCAATGGCGAATTCCTTGACCGTGGTGAGATGGCGACTCCGACTTCGCTTCACTCCGCCCTCCGCCGATGGTTCCTCCGGAGGCAAATTCAAAATGGCGTCGAATCGCGGCGTGGTCAAGATGGCGGATTCCCGCCGCGGCACGCGCAAGATGGCGGCCTCCTGCCGCGTGGCCCATGGCGCCGGGAGTGAAGAACCCGTGGCGGCCTGTGGAGCACTCTCCGCTCTCTCCGTCGCCGTGCTTGGGGTGACGAGATGACACAATTGGCCCAGGGCGTCCTTGAGAGTCTCCAGTTGCTCAGCCACCTGCAGCCATCGCCGATCAGCGTCTGATGGTGTCGGCGGCCCTGACACTGTGGCTACATCTTCCACTCCCGTCCCCGCACTCGTTTCAGCAGGGCTCTCCTCCACCACCCTGGCAGGATCCATGTTTGGAGGGAAGTCTTCGTCTTCCGACGAAGAAGCCGATGCCGGCGCTGGAACATTTTTCTTTCTCACTTGTTTCGACATGCCGTTGCACGTCCGACACCAATGTAATAAAGGACTCGACCACGATGTCTGGCTTGGTGTCCTTTATTCGGTTCTTCTCTCTTAACCCGCACGGCTGTCCTTCTATAAGACTCTATACTGACACTGATACTGCTCTCCTGCAGTTTCTCCCCTCGTCGTTCTCTCAGCCTCTCTCTCCTCTCGTCGCTCTCGTAGCCTCTCCCTCACACACAGCCTCGCCGGCTGTGTTCCCCGCAGCTCCTCGTCCGCCTTCTCTCCAGCCGCCCCACCGCTGTCTTCTCTCGCAGCTCCGCTGGCTGCTCCCTTAGCTGGCCACCGCTGGCCGCCGCTGCCACCCCTTGGCTTTGCCCACGTGGCCTTACTCTGGTCCAGTCCCACTCGTTCTCCCTTCCTCTTCCGGTCTCCTCCCTTAAGAACCTTAACCTTTCCTCCCACGTCACCTAACTCCAGCAATCGACAGGTGCCCGAGGCACATTCCAGGAAGTGCTGGGTTTTCCCCCAGCATGTTTCTATGGTGCTGAACGACAACACCGATTCAATCGCGCGTGCTCATGTGGTCCAGCTGAGAAATAAAAAAATATGTTTGTGGCCGGCACAGATTCCTCTGCCGTTTATGTACGCATGTTTGAACGTATTTGGCATCGCACACTGCCAAGTGTGCTAATTGGAGGTGCGCAGGTAATGCCTTCGACGTGCGCGCGTTAAAGGGCAGCAGACACATCAGTGGGAAAACCCACACGCGTTCAAAATGTGTAGTGAGCGGGGTTGTGATGCACACACAGAGGGATTATTTAAGGAGCAGCACGCAGGAGTGAAAGGAGAGCTGAGTGCGTCAGCACCTCGTGAAGATATAATGTCAGTACTGTGTGTATGGGTGGGTCGGCTACAATAAACACAGTTGAGTTTTTAAACTAAAACTAAACTTCTTTTTTATTCTACCAGGCAAGGCCCACTGAGCTATGTAGCTCTTTTTTTGGAAGCGACCTGGCCACAAATGATAGCCCAACGAAGTGGTGTATCATGTGCTCATTTATATCAGCCAAATACTCTAAACGCACGTTACTAAATGTGGAGAGGAAAAAACCAGAGGGCCCGGAGAAAAATCCACGTGACCACGGGGAAAACATGTAAACTCCACATATAGAGCAGGCGTCAGGTTCAGGATCAAACCCACGACCTCCTGTATATCAGTCGACCGAGATAACATCTCGCTATCTCGGCGCCCTTTGACCCATTGTGCATCTCGCCCAACTGGTGTAGTGAACCAAGCATTATTACAGGTTCATCATTGCATACACCCATAGAGATATAGGCGCATTGTCGTGGCCGAGTGGGTGAGCGTTTGCCGCTTGTTGCAAAGGTTTGTGGCTTGAAGCAGGTGGCCACCCCAGTTAATACTGGCGGGTTAATTAACCGATAATATGCGCCGTCTGCTTCGCAGTGGATGTCAAAGAGCCTGCGATGTTATTAGAAACACGTGTTAACCAAGCGTTGCCGGTGTCAAGGTCCAAATTTGCCAGATTTAAAAAATCATTCGAAAATTATCAATTGGGAAAACCCACACAGTAACATCCACCTCGACCTGCAGAATATTCTCGTCTGTGAAATATGTGCCTTGCACGAAAAGAATGGAACGAATAACAAAATATTTAATTTAACCCATGTTATGAATGTTTTCACCCTAAGAAGTGGCTCAAACCACATCCTGGTGCAATGCCAAATAACAAAGGCAGGTTAAATTATCTCTGAGCTGTCAGATAAACAGCTGGTACCATTGCCACGTTGGCTTAGCATACGGGTAGCTGAAGTATTGTGAGTAGATGAATGCGACCAGATCACCAATGACTGCACAAAACCCCCTAACAATATTCAAATAATTGTTTTTCGCATATTTCCCCCCATTTTAAAGAGTCAACAATACGACTTCGACTCTTATGCGATAAACACTAGTAGAGTGTGCCGCTGTTGTGTAGCGAGCCATTGGCCACTTGATGGATATCTTTTATTTTTACAAATTCTGCAGAGAAAAACATTGCGCAGCCACAACATGGGACCTTTTTGCCAGTATCAAAGTGTGAAAATATAAGAATAATTTTTACCCTTTCTGGCAATAATTGCGCAGCCATTCACGCGCACTTTGGATTTGCATCGCCCTGAGAGATTTGCCCAAAAAGTGTGTTTTTGTCGTCTCGTGGAATGACGTACCTTTTTACATTGGCTTTGCAGACAAATGCTGTATCATTGTTCAGGAAGAAGCGTTTAATTGAAAAGAGGTAGAATGCCGCGGGATGAACTCATATTTTAGGAACAAGGCAACTGCCCAGCAACGGCTTGGGACGTTTCCATCGCTATTCCGAGGATGCCTGATTCGTTCCTTTACCTTGGTTGTGAAAGTCCCTGACATTTTACACTCAATTGTCGTAAGAATCCTGAGCATGGCTCGTTGTGACTTTGGCAACTTGCAGCAACTAAACTTTTAATCCAGCAATTGTTTATTGCTGTTGTTGTCCCACCTGATGACGGACGCTTGTGTTGCGCCCGAAACGTCGTGATTTAATTTATTTTATTTTATTCCTACGTGACTTTACCGAAAGAACCAAAGAGTAACTAAACTTTTATTTCTGTGGACGTGATTTGAGTTTCTGCATGTCACAACACAGCTAACAGGAGTGGCGATATCTGAATTGGTCCCGGACCGGCGTGGTGAAGTATGGCCAAACAAAAAGTGCC